GACAGAGCGAGACTCCGTCTCAAAAAAAAAAAAAAAAGAATTTTGTAACTGCCACCCCAAAATTGTCTTGACAAAGATATTTTTCAACAGAAGCTGTTGTGCTTTCTACAGATGAACTCGACTCTAGATTTTGGGACTTTAGACTTAAACATTCTTTCCCATCTTGGTTACCGAGAGCCCCTAAGAGGACGAAGGACCTGTGCGAACAGCCCACAGTATGATCTTATCCTCAGAGTATTTTCTTTCTTCTAATTGCAGGTGACCCCAAAGAACACAATTAATGGTATGTATTCTGGAATCATTCACCGAGTGTAAAAAAAAAAAAAAAAAAAAAAAAAAAAGTGTATGTATAAGAAATGTGGAACTTAATTACTGACTTTAGTCTAGAGAATCTCTGTGATCCAAGACACCTGGAAAGAATGAGAATTTGGGGTGGACTAAAACTGGTTTTGCAGGTGACAAACTCTTGTCACCTACGTGCAATGCCTGGAAACAGGCGTATTCACTTTAGGTGGTGTGGATTTGTGTGCACCAAGGTAGAAGGTGTCTGTGTGTAGGTCTGTGATGTCTTTGTCAATGCGTGTCCAACACACAGGTGGGTGCAAGCTTAAGGGGTCTGCACACTCAATGAAAGTGAGACTGGACTTCATTATTCATACATTTTCAATAATCTATTGTCTCCGTAACATAAAATTAATGATAAAATACCATAGAATATTTCCCTAATATTGAATCTTGTCTCTCAATAAAGAGTTGCTTAAAAGCACATGAGAAGTGCTACTCAACAAATGATAAGTGCTGTAGCTGCAGTGAAAGCATTCATTTGGGAAGTCATAAGACTTATGACTTATAACTTACAAAGTTATGACTTACGCTCTGTACTCAGCCATGAGCTTTGTAAGATAATTGAAGGGGAGGATAAAAGACCCGATTTGCCTCCTCTGTTCAGTGGTTCTGTTATATGCCTTGTGGAGTACAGTTACACGGGAAGTTGATGGAGTAAACACAACAAAGAATTGAACAGGCTAATTGAATCCATAAGACTGTGGTGAGGTTAGTGAATGAGATGGGTCATTTATTTTTTAACTTTTATTTTAAGTCCAGGGGTACCTGTGCAGGTTTGTTATACAGGTCAACTTGTGTCACAGGGGTTTATTGTTCAGATTATTTCATCATCCAGGTACTAGGCCTAGTATACAATGGATCTGTTTTTCTGATCCTCTCCTCCCACCCACCCTCCACTCTCAAGTAGACCTAAGTCTGTTGTTCCTCTCTTTGTGTCCACGTGTCCTCATCACTTAGCTCCCGCTTATAAGTGAGAACATGCAGTATTTGGTTTTCTGTACCTTTATTAGTTTACTAAGTATGATGGCCTCCAGTTCCATCCATGTTCCTGCAAAGGACATGATCTCATTCTCTTTTATGGCTGCGTAGTATTCCATGGTGTATATGTACCACATTTTCTTTATCCAATATGTCATTGGTGGGCATGTGGATCTTTGCTATTGTGAATAGTGCTGCTGTGGACATATGTGTGGATGTCTTCAGGGTAGAATGATTTACATTTCTTTGGGTATATACCCAGTAACGGGATTGCTGGATTGAATGATATGTCTGTTTTTAGCTCTTTGAGGAATCACCATACTCCTTTCCACAATGGCTGAACCAATTTACACTGTCTCTAACAGTGTGGAAGTGCTCCCTTTTCTCTGCAACTTTGCCAGTATCTGCTATTTTTTGACTTTTTAATAATGGCCATTCTGATGTGGGAAATGGTGTCTCATTTTGTCCCACCAGTTTTTTTTAACTGTTAAGTTCAGGGGTACATGTGCAGGTTTGTTACATAGGCCAACTTGTGTCACGGGAGTTTGTTGTACACATTATTTTGTCACCTGGGTATTAAGCCTAGTACCCATTAGTTATTCTTCCTGATCCTCCTCCTCCCACCCTTCCCCATCTGATAGGCCCCGTGCGTGTTGTTCTGCTCTGTGTGTCCCTGTAAGATTGGTCATTTTTAGGTCAAATTTTACACAGTGTGTTCTTTATGTGCTTTCTTCTAGTACTTTCTATTTTTTGTTAATAACTAGGCCACTGCTGCTAAAATCTCTACTAAAAGTGGGCACATCTTTGTGGTAACAAACAGAAGCCTGTAAAGTTGTGACACCTTAAATTCTGCCAAGTTATGAGGGCTTTGCCTGAGACCTGGATGACAGAGTTGTGTAAGAATGTGGGGTTCCTCTGAAGACTATTGACCTTTCTGAGAATAAAGATCTTATTTGTTTCTATTACATAGGGTTAAAGCAGGGACACGGTGGTCTCTAAGGCACATAGGAGGCTCTGAGAATGGAAAATGAGATCTCTCCAAACTGGAATGTAAATCTCCATTTCTGTATGTAGGATCCCTCTGAGAGCAAGCAGGGGTTCACAGAAGGATACAGATCGCTAAGAGAAATAAATCATGGGAAACACAGGTTTATAGCGTTTAGAAGAAAATACCAAGATGAACATATTAATATCTAAAGTGAGTTTTGATGAAAACAATTAAACAAATTTTTTTAAACTCAAAATGTAAATATCAGGACCGTGTGACTTACTTTTATTTCTACCAAATAATAAAATAAAGACTGGCAGTCCTGGGCACACACTTCCAGAGAGTACACAGAGCAAACACAGCCATAGTGGTTTATCATTTTAGGAGAATCTTGATTCCACTCCTGCAATAATAGACTTGACTGGAAAGGGGAAGGACAGAAACATTCCTCTGAATGTAGAACCCAAAATCTGAAAACAAATGTTAGTGATCTAGAGTCGGACTTAAAAAAACAATAGGATGAACAGTGGTATTTTATGAGAGGACTTTCATAGGGGTCACGAGAGAGAATCAATGGCATTTTCACTAGTGAAGGATTAGGAGAAGAGGCAGAGCCACTGGGTTAATGGAAGGGACATCTGGAGACAGAGGGAAAGGGGGATCAGAGTGAACCTGAATGAGAGTCCTGGGGCAGAGTTTCCAGGCTGTGGCTTTGGAGGGGTTTTTTGTTTTTGTTTTTTTTTTGAAACAGAGTCTTGCTCTGTCTCCCAGGCTGGAGTGCAGTGGTGCGATCTCGGCTCACTGCAAGCTCCACCTCCCGGGTTCACGCCATTCTCCTGCCTCAGCCTCCTGAGTAGCTGGGACTACAGGCGCCCGCCACCACACCCAGCTAATTTTTTGTATTTTTAGTACAGACAGGGTTTCACCATGTTAACCAGGATGGTCTCGATCTCCTGACCTCGTGATCTGCCCACCTCGGCCTCCCAAAGTGCTGGGATTACAGGCTTGAGCCACTGCACCCTGCCAGAGGGGTCTTTCTGAGAGGAGATAGGACTGTCCCCTGCCACAGCAAGGTCAAGGAATGAATGTGGAGTTTGTAAAATAGAAAGTGATCTTTGATGAGGAAAGAATGAGCTGATAAGGGGCACACTCCATGCTGGTGCACGTGCTGCCCATTCTTAGCCACATCTTGTTCCAGGTGGCTCAGATCAGCAATCAAGGAGAAAGTGGGAGCGGCAGACTAAATTCATTAAACCACCAAAGCACCAGCCCAGATGGCCACGTTTTCAGTTAATTCACATTAGGTACTTATTGAGGTTTGATAAGTAGGAGAGAAGTTGTTACCTGCAGAAGCAGCTTGTGATAGATGTTTTGCATAAGGCCTGAGCAGTCTTGGAGACAGGCTGACACTGGCCCCTCACTGTGGTCACCGGAGGAAACAGTTACTGAGAGACAGCTGACAGGGTGAAGGGAGTGGGGGAGGAAGGCCACGCATTTGTGCTTCCAAAGGTCCCACAGATGACATCCTTTAAAAACAACTGTGTGATATTTGGGGTGGAAGATTTGAAAGGCAGAGGAAAACAATGCTTTATAATTAGGGACCTGTCTTCATCTCAGGCAACTCTTCCCGAGCGCAAACTCTGTCTTTCCACACACCTTGGAATAAAAGGATTGGAGAAGGAGAGTGAAGGGGTCCCTCTGATCAGTGGTCCAGGGCATGATACAGAGGTCTCAGTTGTTCAGGAATCTCTGTCTCTGGGGAACCAAATTCATTTCCCCCCCCAGATCCTTCACTCATTGGAATGGGATTCTGCAAATCACTCACCATCTCTAAGTGATACTCAGTGCCCCCCACTGGAAAATCTGAGCGGCGGCCCCTCCTCTGCCCACCCTGCCGGGCTGATGTGGGGATTCCCGGAGATAATAGCAGATGTCCTCCAGAAGTTGTAAGGCAGCACACCCACGTAAAAGATGAACAGGGACCCATCCTCCACTGGCCTGGAGCCACCCAAACAGCCTCTCCGTGTTCAGCCACTACTAAGTGTCCAGCTTATTCCTTCCGGCATTTAGTAAACCCTTACATATCACTACTGAAGTTCTGACTCTCTTTCTTAATATTCTCCTGCATGTAGTGATTTTTCTAGCCCCATACTGTGATATTAATAAGTAGGCCCTATGAATGTTTTAACATAACAGTGCAGAGATCTGAGGATCGAGGGATTGCATGACCTTCCCAGGTCCACGTGTCTCTAGTGGGACTGGGGTCCAGGCCCCCACTACACCAGCCCTCTGCCTTTCTGTATCGCCTCATCTATGTGAAGGCATCGCCCACGCAGTCTTTCTAATCCACATATAAAGTGCTCACTGAACTCCATGATCTTCCTGAGACCCAACTTTGATTCACATGACCCTGTTTGGAAGCCAGTAAACAATGAGATCAGAAGTTAGAACTCAGAACCAATGATCACAGTTCTCCCTCTGGTCTTTCTGTCAGTAACATATCAGTGGCTCTCTGCATTGCAAAAAGATTAACCAAGATCTTCTCTGATAGAGATTGTAAGAAGATACAGCGTCTACACCAAGAGGCACATGACGCAACCTGGACTCTGGGCAAACCACCGGGTGCACCTACATGAAGGTACCGTGGAAATTTATTAAGTTGATTTAAGAATAACAATTGTGGGTTATATTCAGTGTCCCGTATGTTAGAAGAAGCTACAGAGGAGGTTAAGCCATATGTTCAAATGCGCCAAAATTTTTATTTGCCTAGTCAAGAAGTATTGCTGAAATCACAAAATTAAATATACATTTAAAAGTCAATTTTGGTTCACATTTAATAGTAAGACAATCTTTCAAGCTAATGTCTAGACATTACTCAATTGTTGAACATTATTGTGAAGAGATCTCCCTGAAACAGTGGAGCTATAATTTTATGTTTCTTTAACCAAGAGAGTTTTAGATTGACATAAAAATCGAGCATGTAATACACAAAGTTCCCGTATCATTCCATTCTCTCACCCTACCTTATAATTCCACCTAGTATTCCCTTCTTACATTACTGTGTTACATTTGCTAAAATTAATGGGCAAATATTGATACTTTAGTATCAATATTTGTGGCAATAATACTTAGAATTCAATAATCTAACCAAATTAGATTAAATACAGATTATAGAAATGTCCCATATTTTTCTCCTATGACTTTGTATAATGCTTTTACCAAGTAGAAAGTTCCTAAGTCTACCCACTCAGGTAATTTTCTGCCCCTGTTTTCTTTGCAGTGGGGGCCTATCTGGCCTCCCCAGGATGGACCGGAGTATCAGTAGTGCCTGAGTTCATCACAGGACAGCTACTCAGGACACCCTGATCACCATTAGGTAGAATTGAAGGAGCCAAAAACGGGCGCAGTGGCTCCTCAGCAGAGACTCTCCTGAATGTACAGACATGGGAACCACCTTCAGCATCAAAAAAGGAAACGTTCTGCATGCCCATATCCAGAAAAATCCCCACTCGCTGTAACTTGCGGTCTACGAAGAGGAAAGTCAGCGGCACCGTGCTGGCAGAGAGGCGGCCTCCAGCCCTCAAACTCACAGTCCAGAATCCACGCTCTGTGGTCAGCTGGATCCTTCCTTTGCGGTGAACAGATTCTCTGCAGACTCCCAGGTCCCATTCTGTGTTTGTTCCCACGTCCACCTCCCAGTAGTGGCGGCCACAGGTAAAGCGAGGGGAGCCCAGGACACAAATGGACAAGTCAAATCTCTCGGCAAGGTCTTGCCGATTCTGTCTGATGCGCCCACTTCGGACGCTCCTGAGGTCGTCAGAAATGAGGAGGAAGTTGTTGGCTGTGTCACCATCCAAGGTCATATCCACTGTGAAAAGGAAAAAAAGTTGCTCAGCAAATGGACAGAAGCCAACCCCATGCCTCTCCTCTATTTCCAAGACCCAAATATCTCTTGACTTTAGTTTAATTCTGTTTCTTCCTCCAAAATCAAAACTTTTCATGAGAAATCTTCCCTATTTCAAATTCTCATAGGTATGCTTTGTGGCAATATGTGACTCTTATTCCCAGTAGCAATTCTTATTTTACTTTACATCACGTGTTTGCTTCATTGAACTTTTCTTCATTTAGAGTGGAAGGTCTCTGAAGGCAGGCACCATGACCCCCTTTCTACCACCTTGATGCATGAACAAATAAATAATAATTAAGACAATGCAAGTGGTCAATATTAAATATGTTTCTGCTTCCACAAGTTATTACTCCAATTCAGTATATAGAACATGATTCCAGGCTTTTGTTATTTTCCATGTTTGTAAACAAATTAATTGTACCCAGTTCTGACAGCAGATAGAATATCTCTGCAGCTGACGATGTGATGACAGAGGTGCCGATCCTGGACATTAGGAGGCTCCAAGGCCAGGAGGAGGAGGGGGGCCTTAGATGAAAGAATGTTTTCCATCCTACATGGGAGGTGAGGCCTTAAGCAAAGCAATGGTAAATTTTGGAGCCAAGAGAAAGGTATTTGAAAGTTGTTTGTCATAACCGACTGATTGCAGAGAATAAGGGCAGCAAATACAAAGGTCAATAATTTAAGGCATTGGGTATGTGGTTGACAGGTGAAGCCGCCGGTTCTCATGGAGGAGGCAGTGTGATATGGCCTAGAGAAAATTAATTGTCCAGAGCATTCTGAAAAAATTTCTACAAAACATATTATCCTTCAAGTCAAAAGACTGATATAATCACTAATATAGGTTTTATAGATTACAGTAAGACTTGCGGGGATTGATTGCTGTTTAATGTTGAATTAGGGAATAGACATGGACAAGGAAGGAGGAAGACGGTTCCAAACATGACTTGGCCAGGGTGAATGTGTCCTCCATATTTCAGCAGAGAGACAGTCAGGTATTGGTAGGTGGATGGGTAGAGATTATGAGTGTCAGGGCAGAAGCTACTAGTGTCGGGGACATCATAGGGGCCCACCACCATTTATAGGTGTAATTCTTTGCTCAGGCTGACCATAACCTCTTCATTTAAATGTCCCTTTTCTCCAGAGTTATGGAGTCTTTTAGTATTTTCTGTAGCCAGGGCCACTGAGCATTTCCTCTAAATTTCATTCCTTGGACTCCAGTCTGCACCCAACTGCCCAGTGGGCCCTCTCAAGGGCCAGAATGGGGACCACATCTGGCAACCCTGAGAGAGGCTGCAGGAGATGGGCCTGAGCGAGCTCTGCACCAAGGAGGGGCCCCCACCAATGCCATTCGGGAAGGAGTGACTCTGGTGCTAAGAGAAGGGAGAAGACGCTCTTAGGGTAGGGAGGTGTTGATCTGTGGTCAGTGCTTGGAGGCTGAGGCCCCCAGGTCCCAACCCTACCTTGCTCCAAAGGCCAAGCAGGCGGGATCTGAAGAATCTGGGGGTTTCCCTCTGCCCCTGCCTCACCTGGGCTGAGTGACAGAGTCAGACTGGACAGTACTGCCCAGAGCCCTGGTGCCCGCTGCACAGGCTGGGAAGAGTACCCTGCATCTGCTTGTGTGCTCAGCTGGGGACTCCAGGCTCCATGTGCAAGCAATGTGGGCAGGGGAGCTGGACAGAGCAGCCCCAGTACCCACACTGGCAAGGGCGTCCCCCTCTAGATGAGCTGTGGGGACCAGATCATCCGTTGCTGGGAAGGCCCTGTCCAAGTTTCTGCTCTCCTGCTATCTCAGCTCAGGGGTAAGTGGCATTTAACAGTCCCACAGAGACAGCCCTGGGGCCACTGTGGGCTGCTGTAATCCCCAGAGCTGAGCTCCATGAGCTTGGGAGGGGGGCTGGGGGAGGCTCCCTTAGGAAGAGACATTGGCAGGTGAGGGTTGATGTGGGCTGGGAAGACCGAGGCAGGGAGCTTCATGTGAACCCTACAAGTTTGAGGCCCCTGGGAAGGCGCCTGAGGCTTCTGGAGACTCAAGTCAGGGGAGCCAATTTGTGCTCTTGATCCCTGTCCACACCTGGTGCTGCGCTGAAGGCTTGGGCCATATCCCAACAGCGGTGGGAAGGAAGCCTTCTTCTCAGGAGATCTCAGATTAGCATTCCCAGGAGAGGAATCTGGGGTCACAGGGAGACATGTCTGGGGCAGCCAGCTTGACATATCATCCAGCTTCGTGCCCCTTGGCCACTCCCCTGCCACCGTACCTCAGGGAGGGCTCAGCAGGAAGAGCTCTTTCATTACTTTCCATTTTCGTTTGTGTTCCCTTCCATTTACATGATTTGGGTTTGTTCTGTTGTGGTGGTGTGGTGTGTTGCTCTTTTTTCTTTTTCTCTTCTTTTTTCTTTCTAAAATATTGCTTATTTATAGTTTTACAATTTGTTTTGTGCAGGCCGGGCACGGTGGCTCACGTAATCCCAGCACTTTGGGAGGCCGAGACGGGCGGATCACGAGGTCAGGAGATCGAGACCATCCTGGCTAACACGGTGAAACCCCGTCTCTACTAAAAATACAAAAATTAGCCGGGCGAGGTTGCGGGTGCCTGTAGTCCCAGCTACTCAGGAGACTGAGGCAGGAGAATGGCGTGAACCCGGGAGGCGGAGCTTGCAGTGAGTGGAGATCACGCCACTGCACTCCAGCCTGGGTGACAGAGCAAGACTCCGTCTCAAAAAAAAAAAAAAAAATTTTTTTTGTTTTGTAATACATGTCCAAAATTAGGGGGCGCAGTGGGATTTTTTCCTATTTGTATACACTGAGGAATGATGAAATCAGGGTGTTCCTCACATCTGTTCCCATATCTAGTTTTTATTTCTATGTGTTGTGAACCTTCATTGTCCTTCTTTCTAGCTCTACTGAAAAAGAGGCTGCCATATTGGTACCACTAGTCACCCTGCTGTGGAGTGCCTCAGCAGAATTCATCCCTTCCCTGGAACCGCAGCTCTGCACCCATTACCAATGACTACCCCTTCCCTCTCCTCCCTGCTGCCTCTGCTAACCACTATTGTACCTTCACCTTCCATTAGATACTTTGTTTTAGCTTCCACATGGTTCCGATGATACAGTGTTTGTCTTATTCTGCCTAGCTGACTCAGTTTATGACTTCCAGGATCATCCCGGGTTGCTGTAAATGACATCAAGCCATGAATTTTTGAGGATGAGGCATCTTTCATTGTGTCTGTGTGCTGAAGTTCCTTCATTGCTCTGTCAGTTGATGGACAGGTTAGGTTGATTTCATACCTTGGCTATTGTGAGTAGTGCTTCCCTAAATCTGGGAAGGCAACTATTACTTCAGTATACTGATTTCATGTTCATGAAGCGTGTACTCACTATTGAAATTTCTAGATGAAATGGTAGTTTCTTCAATATACTGATTTCATTTTCATTAAGCATATACTCACTATTGGAATTTCTAGATGAAATGGTAGTTTCTTTTTTGGTTATATTCTAATTACAGTATGTGGTATCTGATTGTAATTTTTATTTGCAGTTTTGAGATGATTAATGATGTTAAGAATCAATTTTTTTTTACCTGGTAGTGGATTTTTTTTACCTGGTAGTGGATTTTTTTTACCTGGTAGTGGATTTTTTTTTAACCTGTTACTGGATTTAATATCACTTTCTTTTCCATGACATGAGGCCCCAATTCACCCCACAGGCAAATCTGGTCTGTCAAGAGCCCAGACAGAGGCACACAGAACAGAGCGAGTCTGGGGGTCCCACATGCTCCTGGCAGACAGACAGAAGAGTCTCAAGAGGTCACCATTTGAATGCTCTGCCTCTGGGGTCAGAGGTGAAGGGGTCACAGTGACCAGCTGAGGCATACAGAGGTCTAAATAGGGAGAGGAGAGGTCAGC